ACGTTGACGCTCAAGGATACTGCTCATTTCTCCTGCACAAATAAAAACATAAGATTCAGGTCGGCTAGAAATCCTGCTATGTTACAGAAATATACCTTCCCCATGAAGGTTTGCCACATCGACAAACCCTAGAACTGCGATCTGCTCCGGGGTAACCAAGGCCTCCAGATCTACCAAACCCCTCGCCTTCACATAGTCGAGCAGCCGATTCTCCAGGTCGACATCACCACTGGTCAGCTGGGGGTAGTTCATAAACGTGTTCGGCGTACGCCATTCTGACAGACGCGCCGCCAGCTCGGTGTTAATCCTGTCAGTTCGCGTATCCCGCACGAACACGAACTGCCTCTTCCACCTCGCCACCTTATTTCTAATATTGGTGAATATCATCATCTTCTCCCTGCCCAAGATGTAGTACCACCTCGTCCCACTGGTAGACGGGCACAAACGGCACAGGAAGAACGACCTGAAGACCACCGCTTTTGCAAGCATCCCCAGCCTTTCGCACAACAGCATAAAGCCTATGATGAACTTTATGCTATTGGGAGTAAGTTGCGAAAGGGCCAGCTCGTACTCTGCCAGGACGTCAAAAATCAGTCCAGGCAGAGGAAAACGTAGACCAGCGTCAAAATGGTCTACGTATACTGGCACCCAGCCCGTCCGTGACACTAAGCACGCCCGCTCGTTCAGTGTCCCTGCTCGGATCAGGATGGTTCTGGGGATGTGGTACCTCCTCACCATCTCTTCTAATTTTATATACCCCTTAACTGTTGCCGCGCCATCTACAACTTCATGATGCAGTGCCGCCCTGAACCTGAACCCGGCCGGTAGTGTTTTGGGAGCTTTGCGGAGATTGCTCAGCCTCCCACTAAGAACTTTGCTCTCCCATCCCTCGAACACTACCACCTCTGTCGCTGCACTCGTCGCCGGTGCACTGCAACCAACCTCCTCAACGCCCTCCGCTTCACTAGCTGCCTCTTCAGTGGACGAATCACTGGAGGTTGAAGGCTGGTGGTCCTCAGAACCCCCACTTACACTCGAACTAGCGTCATTCTCAGGCGCGGCGGCTCTTGGCGAATCCTGCAACTCCGGCGGCACTATCATCGCGATAGGCTCCGCGGATATCACATCGACATCCCCCTCTTCACCTTGGTTACCCCGGAACTCTCGTGCATCGTAGAAAGAAGCCATTTTTACCTGAGTAGTTGAAGATGTTTTCACTGGAAATCTGGAAAATGGCCGTGAATATCTCTGCAGCCCTCTCTGAAAACGTACGAATATGCTGTGTAATGAAATGGAAAACGTAACAAATTGTTTGTTTTGTTTGTTTTGTTTTGACCATTCAGATGGCGCCCTGTAAACACCGTACGCGTGTTTACAGCCCCCCAGTTCAGCACGACCACGTGACAACCATTTATGGTTAAAAATCCAAAACGCGCCATTTGCAGCTGTCACGTCCCCTCAAATGCTGAGCCAGCATTTATTGCGGGGAGGCAAAAGGGTATCTGTTAAAAGCAGAAGAATACCAAACGCTCTGAGCAAATCTCCTCACAGATTCGCCACAGTCGTTGAAAATCCGAAGGATCAGATCGCTGCAAACTTCAATAATCAGCTCGTAACAAATTTGAGACTTAGGCAAATCTCCTCAGAGATTCGCCACAATTCAAATTTTGAGAAGTCCAAGGGCTCAGTTCGTTACAAATCCGCGATCTCCTCGCAGATCTGCCAAAATTCAAAACTAGAAAGTCTCGAGAAATCAGCTCGTTACTAAATTCGAAAAACCTCTGGAGATCAGGTCGCACAAATCATGGATTCACCTCAGGTTCGAGCGTCGAGCGTTAGATTATAACTAACTTCCTCAGAGCTGCTCTGTGTCCCAGAGACTTATATTGGGGTGACGAGTGTGGTCGCTATTCTCTGCCCGTCTAGAGTCGGTGCGTTCAGCTCGTTCACTATCTACTCGCCTCAGCTCCGCCGTAGGGAATTCCTCATGCAAGGTCACTCTTGCGCGGCTACTCGACCCTCTGACTAGCACCGAGATCGATCGATTGTAAAACCGACCCTTCACGCCTGCTCGGAATACACTGGCACATCTGGCCAGGCACCATGTTTTCAAGCCGGTCAGGCCGTCCATACGTGAGGTCGTTCATGAACACAAAGTATCCCTCCTCATCTTTAGGGCCAAGCACCGTACTAACAAGACTCCCAACCAGTTCGTCAACCGAACGCTGAGGGGGGAGTAATGTTGGGATTAGGCCCAACACCCACTTCGGGCCACCTATAACAGGCCCAATTATGCACACGCAGACTCAAGAGGAGGAGACATACCCACGTAAGCAGCACCACGTGGACCAATGAGTTACCTACATGTATGAATACATGTCAGTGTTTGGGGCTATAAATACTCCCCAACTACCAACAATGAAGATAATTAATCCCTACGCTTCTCTCTCTGCAATTACTCCTTGAAAGCATCTCTCTCTAGAATACTGAGTATTGCTGACTTGAGCGTCGGAGTGTTTCCCCGAGGAAACAACCTCGGGATTTTCAGGTGTAGAAGCAGCTGAGGATTTCAACAGTGTTGGACCGCGAAGCTGCCAAAACACTTTCCATTGATTTAGTGATTTATGCATGAACTTGAGAAAGAATTGTCTAAATTATATCAATATAGTGGAGGAAGAGAAGAGAGTTAGTAACTCCCTTCTTAAGCTAGAAGTTTTTATAGAATTTAATGCTCATTAGTTTGTTTAAAATTACATAGAGATATATTAATTTAGCAAACAAATGAAGGATTAGCTTGACTTGAGTAAGCTGGTTAATTAATTTAGGGAAATCCGTCATCTCATGCGATAACACTATTAATTGAGCTTGAATTAAATTAATTAAACAGTTACATAATTCAGAATTAAATGAAATCTAAACTTTAGTTCCTTCCTTCCCATTCGTAGTTTCTTAATTTAGAAAATTCCTTTAGTTTAATTCTTTTAGTTTAAGTAGTTTTCTTTTAAATAGTTTAGTTTTGCTCCATTAATTGGTTAATTCAACTTAGGTTAGATTAATATTGTCTTGGTAGTGTAGGATAGTCCTCGAGGGAATATTTTACTCATTTATCAATTAGGTCCACTTACCTAAAAGTAGTGCATATTTGGTGCATCAAAAACCCATCAAATTTTGCTCATTACCCATTTCTTAACTGTCATTAACTAACCTTATGGAACTCTCCCTGTTACTCTGCAATCAACCCAGTTCAGCCCTCCTCCACAAGCCTATCTCCATTGTACTTCCAAGTAAAATCCCCTATTCTCTATATCATATCTTATTTACATATATAACATCTTCAGTTGCAATTGACTGATGAAAACCCATTTCCCTGAATCCTCAGGGAAGAGACTGACCAAGGGGAATTCGTGTTTCTTTCCATGTCGATGCTCACTGTCGTCCTCAG